TAAAAAGAAAGAATGTGAGTCTCCTGTTGATTATAGACCAATTAGTTTGTGTAATGTTCTGTATAAAATTATTGCGAAAGTTCTTGCCAACAGATTGAAGCTTGTCCTCCCTGACATTATTCATGAGTCTCAGAGTGGGTTTGTCCCCGGTAGATTGATCAGTGACAATATTCATGTGGCTTATGAGTGTTTCCATTACTTGCGGAAAAAGAAGGGGAAAGTTGGGCATCTAGGGCTTAAACTTGATATGAGTAAAGCCTATGATAGAGTTTTATGGTTTTTCTTGGAGAAGATGATGAGGAAATTGGGTTTTCCGATTTCTTTTGTGAAGTCGATTATGAAATGTGTTGAGAGTGCTTTTTCATGATTCTTGTGAATGGACAACATTCGAGAAGTTTTCTTTCATCTAGAGGGCTCCGTCAAGGGGATCCACTATCTCCGTTTCTCTTTATCATTTGTGCTGAAAGCCTTTCCACCCTCCTTCGTGATGCTAAAATTAAAGTAGGAAGCTTATTCATGGTGTGAAAATTGGGAAGAAAGTTGACATAATCTCACATTTATTTTTTGCGGATGATAGCCTTCTCTTTGTTAGGGATAATGAAGATGAAGTTGGGAATGTGCTTGACATTCTTGCCACCTATGAAGCTGCGTCGGGCCAAAAATTGAATATGGAGAAATCCGAAGTGTCTTTTAGCCGAAATATTGAGCCAGAAAGAAACATTTGCTTCAGTTGAAGTTATCATTTAAGGTCGTTGATGGACACGACAAATACCTTGGGCTGCCAACTTACCTTGGTAGTTCAAAGAAATGGATTTTCTCAATTATTCAAGACCGGGTTTGGAAGAAGCTAAAGTGATGGAAGGAGGGTTTTCTTTCTCAAGCGGGGCGGGAGATCCTAATCAAGTCCATTGCTCAAGCCATTCCGACTTATGCTATGCGAGTCTTTTGTATTCCGTTTAGCATCCTCAATGAAATCGAAAAAATTTGTTGTAACTTTTTTTGGGGCCAAAAGAAAAATGAGCGCAAAACGGCATGGGTTGCGTGGGATAAGATGATTTTTTTAAAGGCAGAAGGTGGTATGGGAATGCGGGATTTGCATATTTTTAACAAAGCCATGCTTGCTAAACAAGTGTGGCGCTTGTTAACCAATTCTCAATCCTTGATGACAAAAACTCTCAAGCATAAATATTTCCCGAATTCTGATCTTATGGATGCTACAGTTCCTGCCAGTGCTAGCTTCACATGGAGATCTCTTATGGCTACAAGAGATTTGATTTCAAAAGGTGCTAGGAAGCTAATTGGCTCGGGCTTGACTATTGAGTATGGAAAGACCCTTGGGTACCTTCTCTTCCCAACTTTAGCATTCTTAGAAGGCACATATTGCTGATGATGCTCATAGGTACGTTGCTGAGTTGATCAGTGATGGGGAGTGGGATTCTAACATCCTTGCTTCTCATTTCCTAGAGTGGGAGGTTAATGAAATCCTCAAAATTCCTATTCCTCGCTTTGGAGAAGTTGACTCCTGGACATGGCATTATACCAAAACAGGTGATTTTTCTGTGATCAGTGATTTTTCTGTGCGTAGTGCTTATCATGCTGTTCTCGAGGCTACAAAAAATTCTTTCCCATCTACTTCTATTCCACCTCATAATGCCATCTGGTCTTCTCTTTAGGCTGCCAGATTACCCCCTAAAATCAAGCATTTTGGGTGGAGAGGTCTCCAAAATGCCATTCCTGTGAGATGCAATATGAAAAAGGGGTATTTGTGATTATGATGTTTGTCCTATGTGTGGTGAAGCCCCTGAAACGACTGTCCATGTATTATTCCTATGTGAAGCTGCCAAGGCATTATGGTATTTGTCTCCACTAAGACTAGTTGTGCATGCTAACAATTCTCAATCTTTGCTGTCTTGGTGTAAGGCAAAGGGGGGGGGGGGGGGGTGATTAAAGATAAATTCTGGTGGGATAATTTTTGGAGCTTACTTTGGGGAATTTGGCTAAGAAGGAACGCGTGGATTTTTGAGAAAAAGGATGTCCAAATGGCTGAAGTTCTGAGAAAGGCCACTGGTATCATTGGTGAGTATGACAAGGCTAACTCTACTCTTCCTTCTGAGTTGGATAGCAGAAACGTGGTTCCTCATAGATGGTTGCCCCCTGCAAATGGATTCTATAAGTTGAATACGGATGCTGCAATCTTTGGTGATACAGACATTGGTGTGGGTGGCATTGTTCGTGATTGCTATGGGGATGTGATGCTTGCTACTTGCCACAAGATTAGAGGCTGCCTCGGGGTTGATATAGCTGAGGCTATGGCTGCTAGACATAGTCTTGGGATTGCTATTGAAGCTGGACTCACCAAGATCACCCTTGAATCTGACAGTTTGAAACTGATTCAGCACTTGAAAAGCAGGAAATAGGAAAGCTCCTACTTTGGCCTCATTGTTGCTGACATTCTCCACCTCGCAAAGGACTGATCTTTCTTTGTTGCTGCACACATTGGAAGGAAAGGAAACGAAGCTGCTCACAAGCTAGCTCACATTAGCAAAAATTTTGTAGAATTGCGTGTTTAGGTTGAAGAAGTGCCTAGAATTGTAAATGCTATTATTGCCCTTGATTCTGCTAATGCTTAATAATACTTGATCGTTTCCCGTCAAAAAAAAAAAAAAAAAGGATAAATACACACATTTTATGTGTATTTAGTATTTATTCTAACAACATAATGTGTATTTACTATTTACGAGTAGCATTTAAAAAAGAATCATTTTGTAAAAAAGAAAAAAGGAGGGTAGGCTCACAGCTTAACACGGTCACGTAATCTCTTGTTGAGTCTACATATCACCGTACTGAGATTGTCGTGTCTAATTTATAATTAACTTAATTTAACGTATGTTGTCTTGCTGAGTCATTAATGATTTTAAAAAAGGGGGTAGGCTCAGCTTAGCTCACACACATTAGCATTTTGTGTCATGCTTACCCTTTTTCATGCCATAAATTTTTTTCCCCCATTTTGAGGTGTGTCATGCCACGGGTCAATGCACATCCTGTAGCTTAACCAACTCAATTTTTCTTCACATATAAATCAAATATATATAATTTATAATATTATTAAAAATTCGAATGGACAATATAGACATATAATATCGTGAAAATCATCATATATATCACCCTTTCCTTTATATATTTGGTGCCACATGCGCAATGACATGTCAAGACCTATGGAGTATTTATCTCTACTATATACCAAAAATCATTGGATTATAATTTGAATAATTAAACTTAATAACAAAATTTACCATCAAATTATCAATACCTCTTAATACTTAAACTATACGTAGTAGTTTTCTAATTTGATCATAACACTCCTTATTTTGCAACTTTTTATTAACCGCTCAATAAATTATTGTTGGTCCCGGGCCAAAAACTAGTGTTCATCTTAGGATTCCTACCATTCTTCAACAATATAGATTATGAACCTTGGTCTTGCTTTAGTTATAGGTGAAATTACTTACTAAAAGTAGTACTTCGAACTTTGAATGTAGTTGATATTTTTGGAATTTAATCAAATATATACAATTGCCTTATACATAGAATTGTCTTAAGTGTCTCATACGAATTTATTTATATTCCCATTTTATTATGTTATCTTTCATAATATTATTTATTTATTTATTTTTGACGCAATCTTCCATAATATTTAATACAAAAAATGTTGTAACCAACGTCTAGCAAAATCTCACCAGTCAGGAAGTCCAACCAGACTACGGCTACGGCTCCAGAGAGAAAGGGCAGCCCTCGCTCTGCGGGAAGGGGCTCAAAGAGGTCCCGGTACCTTATCACGCTTTTTTTGACTTTTTACAAGCAAGGAAGAGAAAGAAACTAGTTCAATTTGAGTATTTATCAGCTCAATCTCTTTCTTTCAGAACCTGTGCTTGAGAAGGTCCCCACCAAACACCAAACACCAAACACCAACCACCGAACCGAAACTGATCGGGGAGACCGGGGGGAGAATTGCCGCGGTCCAACTATATCAAATGCATTAGCATAGATTTTATTTATCATAGTTACATTTATTAATAATTACTTTATCCGTTCTTTTTTACTTGATCCGCTTTGACTTTTACACTATTCATCACCCCTCCTTTGACCGTCTTTTTGTAAATAATATATAAATAAAAACATATTCATGTTCGATCTTTTTGAATTCGTCTAAATAAGTACTATCATAATATATAAATTTTATATTTTACTTGTGGAGAAATAAAGTTATTAATCATTAAAGTTTTGCATTGGCAAACGTGATAAAAGAAACTGGTCTAAGTAAAAATAACAGAGGAAGTATGCTATAATCAAGCGTAATGTAAATAAATTGAAACATTTTTCTCTATCAAATTCTCAAATAATTTATTTTGGAGTAAAAATATTTAGAAAATTATGTATCCACGGTTTAACATAGGTCTATTTGACCAAAGTCAAACGTAGCTAGCTACTATCAAACTCTAAACACCCAAAAAAAACAATTTGTCTCACAAAAAAATCCTAAGAACATTATTGTGGAACGAAGGGAATAATTCTTATATTATAACTTTTTGAGATATTGTCAAAATCTTTCAAATAAATAAAAAAGATATGATCACAAAAATAATACAATCAAATAATTATTATCACCTTAAAATTTGACCCAATAATAATCAACTTCTTCCTTAAAAAAAAAATTAAAATCTTTTCTAGCTGTTTAGTGTTCTTAACAGTCCGCATGAAACTCACTTCCCTTTAACTCTCTGTTTCTCTCCTCCTCATTCTCTCTCTTTCCAACTCACTTACCCGCCATTAATTCAATAATTCCCATTTTTTTGATTTCTTTAATCATTGAATTACAATAATTGAAGGTTTTATTTGGGATATTAATGTCAATTTTTCGAAGAAAATTTGATAAATTTCTCGATTTGGGTGTCTTATTCCTCTGATTTCCCCTGTTTTTTTCGATACCCAGTTTATGAAACATGGAGTATGTACCAATAGGCAAGAGAACTAGGCTTCAAAAAACCCTGAATAAGGAGAATTTTTTAAATAATTCTGGGTTTTCTTCGAGTGATGATGACGATGAAGATGGATGTTTTGTCATTAATGAAGGAGAGTTCTTGAAATCAATTAGTAGAATTTCTGAAAAAAAATCCGCAAAAATTGATGTGGGTATTGAAAAAAATATTAGTAGTGATTTGGGTAGGGTTTATGAAAATCATGGTGAAATTTCTAAGGGTTTGGATGATAAGGCTCAGAGTATTATGAATGTTGATGAGAATGATGGTGTTGATGATGATGATGATGATGAGGAGGAGGATGGGAATGTATGTATGCTTGATGATGATGGGAATGATGGTGTTCTTGTTGATGATGATGGGAATGATGGTGTTCTTGTTGATGATAATGGGAATGATGGTGTTCGTGTCGAGGATGATGATGATGGGAATGATGGTGTTAGTGTTGTTGTTGAGGATGAGAATGGTGTTAGTGTTGTTGATAATGATGATGGTGATGGGAGTGTTGGTGTTGATGATGATGATGGTGGTGAGAATGATGGTGCTCGTGTTGATGATGATGGGAATGACAGTGCTCGTGTTGATGATGGGAATGACAGTGTTGGTGTTGGTGTTGATGATGGGAATGGTGGTGTTAATGTGGTTGATCATAATAGGAAAGATGGTGTCAGTGTTGTTGTTGATGATGATGTGAATGATGGTGTTTGGGATGATGATGATGGGAATGATGATATATGTGTCAATGGTGAGGATGAGGATGATGGGAATGGTGTTGGCATTGATGATGATGGTGAGGATGAGGATGATGGGAATGATTGTGTTCGTGTTGATGATGATGAGGAGGTTCCTATAGCTAAGTTACCTAGGAGACTGTTTGAGGGAATGGTGTTGCCAAAATACATTTCAAAAGATGTTGAGGGAAATGATTTTATTGGAAAAAGAACAAGGTCCCATTACAAGTTTAGGAGTAAAATCAATCATCATGGAACCCCTAATTCCCCTATCAGCATTGATATAGATGATAAATCCTCTTCCTCTCATGACGAAGAGGACCATCAGCCTAATAGTCGCGAGTATGGTAAAGGAAAAAGAAAACGTGGTAGGCCGCCTTTGAAGAAGGATGACAAAGTGGGGTTAAATCTTGATGTGGATGAATCATCTTCATCTTCATCTGAGGATGAGGAGCAGCACTTAGAGTTCAATAGACGTGTGACAAGTCAGGAGGATGGTGGAGGAAAGAGAAAACGAGGTAGGCCGCCTTTGAAGAAGGTTAACAAAGAGGATTTAGAGCTTATGAAGCCAAAAGGAAAGAGGCTAAAAACTAAAGAGGTTCAAAATGTTTTGCTGAACGCGATTTTGGAGAATGGAAAAAATGCAGGGCTTAATAATATTGCCTCTTCTTTTAGTGAGGCATTTCTTCCCCTTAAATTTAAGTATGGAATTGAGGAATTATCGGTGCCAGAAATTTCAGAAGAGGAACAAGAAGTCGAAAGCCTCTTTACAAATATGGACTTTGCTCTTGGAGTTTGTGACATTGGTTTTGAACCTTCTTGTTTGGTAAGGTTTCTCAGATCATACAACAAATTTATTACGAGTACTTCTTGGTTGTTTGCTTTTCTATAAGTTTGGATTAAAAATCATTTAAGGCCTCTTTGGTAGGCAGTAATGAATTTTATGTGTAGCTAGATTATACTATAGTTATGCTTAAGTTTTCCTTTAATATTGTGAACTTTTTCTATGTTTTAATGATATCTTCGCTTCAGCACAATGCATTACACATTGAAGTGATAACAATCGACTATATCTTGACTTGATTGTTGATAATAGTTAGTTAATGTACTTGTAGCAGGATTTATGAGATCTAACATGCTGTACTTGAGCACACAAAATTGGTAAACCAGTGAAATTGATGTTGTTTTTCTCTTCTATTGACTGTGACTCGTGTTTATCCAGAATTATATGGAGTAGTATTTCCAATATATTTACTGATGAATATCTACTCCAACCTGGTGAAGTATTTTGCATGCTAAATACCAAGTAAAACTTAGGCTGAAAGGTGCGGACTTAAAGTGATCAGACTCTTAAGCAGGTACAAATAAATGTCCTAGAACAAGTAGCATTTTATTTTATTTGAACAAAATGTACGATGCTTGGACTCTTCATCTAAGCTCAAGTATTCATGTCGAATACTTGGCATCAAAATGGGTTTGGGAACTTAATCACTTCAGTTTCGGCCAAAATGAGAAATCTCATACTTCCTACTTATGTTCGTGTCACGTGTTCTGATCATAGCTTTGGGCACTCATATCTGTGTCCCTGTATCTTCAAGTTAAGAATTTTACATTTCCAATTGTTGCATCCACGATTGAGTTTGTTTTATTATATACCTGAGTTCGTGCATTGTATATGTAGCTTTTATTACCTTCTAAGTTTGCAGTATTTATCTGCTGTGCTTTTTTGCAACTGAAAAAGTGCACAGTATATGTAGGTGTAAAAGATATGCTCTTTCATTTTCCTTTTCTGAAGTGTAACTCTAAAAACTGTAGCACAACTTTGAAGTTTGAATTTGTATGCCATATCTTGATAAGCAGTTGAATCTTGATTAATGTATTTCATTGTTATCTAACTTTGTAGCTCTATATTATCTACTTACTAACAGGCTTCACAATGACTTTGCAGGATAACGATGATGATGAAGATGATAATGCTGTTCTATGTGATAGCGCACTCTTGCAAGAAAAGCTTTGCCTTAAAGGAAAGCACTACTGGATTTATGATGAATTGATTGGAATCAAGTGCAAGTTCTGTTCATTTGTGAAGCTTGAAATACAATACGTCACACCTGATTTTGTAAGTCACAAAAACACCCTTTTCGTTGATAATATTTACTGTCATTAGTGTAATTATATATTTGCTTATGGTTGCACATCATGTTCCAATTGCTGTTCAATTTATCTGGTCAGGCCAGCATCTTTAACTGATGATTATTTACATAAAACATATACTTGTATATAGCTTTATATTATGCATAGACGTAGTATGTAAAAGGGGCGAAATTTGGAAAGTAAAGCTAAGCCTGTTAATCTATTGATTATATCAGTATGAAATTGGTAGTTGAATGTCCGTGTAAGACTGCTTTTGATGTAAACTACTATATCCACTAAATTCAACTGCATATGTATAAGTACAAATGTACAATTACTCGAACTATTTTGTTTCGATCTTTTCCTTTTGTATTTCCATCATAAGATCCTGTACTTCCTAAGCTCCTTTAATGACATGAAAATTTGATTTTCCATGTGAAGAACAAGAATCCGTTTGGGAGGACGAAAGACACCAGATACTATGGGCAATTCCCCTACAATGATACCAATGTTTCTGACAGGTTTCAGTTTCCGGATTTGAGCTATGATATCCGAGGTGAGGCTAGTATTCCGAATGACCATTTTTCGGGCACAGTATGGGACCTCATTCCAGGAGTTGCAAGGACCTTATACCCTCATCAGCGCGATGGGTTTGAGTTCATCTGGAAAAACATTGCCGGAGGGATAAGAATCGACGAGCTTGCTAAGCCCACGGAATCTGGTAGTGGTGGGTGCATCATATGCCATGCTCCAGGGACAGGAAAAACTCGGCTAGCAATTGTTTTTCTGCAGTCCTTCCTGAGGCAATACCCTAAGTCGAGGCCTGTTATTATAGCCCCTTATAGCATGCTTCGTACTTGGGAAGAGGAGTTTGATCGATGGAACGTTGACATTCCTTTCTTTAACCTGAACGAGAAGGAACTGTCAGGGAAAGAAGACCTTCCTCTGCTCAAAGGTCAGAACATGAAGAATGCTATGAAAGACGAGTATTCAATTCGAATGGCTAAGCTACTTACTTGGTCTATGGGGAAGGGTGTTTTAGCTATTAGCTACGGGCTTTTCCAGAGATTAGCAGGTGATGGGAAGAGCGTTGATGAGAAGGTTAGGAAAGTTTTTCTTGAACAGCCTGATCTCTTAGTGTTGGATGAAGGGCACACGGCGAGAAATGATAAGAGTGGCATAGTTAAAGTGCTGTCAAAGGTTGTAACTAAGAGGCGAGTGATCTTATCAGGAACGCCATTCCAAAATAACTTTGAGGAACTGCATACTACAATTGCCTTGGTCCGAGAAGAGTTTGGGGTTCCATCTTGTAGTCATTTGAATGAGGAACGAAAAATCGAGAAGCTAAGGAAACAGATTGGTCCCTTTGTGCATGTTCACAAGGGGGAGATCTTAAGAGATACTCTTCCTGGATTGTTTGACTCATTAATTGTCCTAAGACCCTCAGATATGCAAAAGTATATTTTTGCTCACATAGCAAGATTAAGAACCCCATTTCTCAAATTCGACAACCAGATATCTCTGGCCGGTGTTCACCCCTCAATTTTATGTGAGACAGATTCAGGGTATGCTGTCGATAAAGAACAAGAAACTTTGCTGAAAGATCATAGAATGGACCTTGATGCTGGAGCAAAAATACGGTTTCTTGTAGAGCTTATAAAGCTATGCAAAGGAGAGCGAGTTTTGGTGTTTGGCCAGCGCCTTCCCTCCTTAAACTTCATAGGAGATTTGCTAGAATCTCTATTCGAATGGACCAAGGGGAGGGAGTTGCTTTACATTGATGGAGGTCAAGATATGAAGGAGAGGCAGTCATTGATTAAGCTTTTCAACAACCCTGGGAGCGAGGCTAGGGTCCTTTTGGCTTCCACCAAGGCATGTTGTGAAGGGATCAGCCTTGTGGGTGCGTCTAGGGTGGTCTTGCTTGATGTTGTGTGGAACCCCTCTGTGGAAAGACAAGCCATAAGCCGGGCTTATAGACTAGGACAACAAAAGGATGTGTTTGTTTATCACCTCATCATTTCGGGGACCCTGGAGGAAGATAAGTTCCACAGGCAGACAACAAAGGAACATTATTCAAAGCTTCTGTTCTCTTCGTCCTCTCCTTCAGAGAATGAAACCACTATGCACAAAAAGAGCATCGGATCAAGGATGGTTTCTGAGGATCACTTATTAGAAGCAATGACCCATCATGAAAAAATCAATTACATGTTTGAGAAGATTATCAGCCAGCCTAAAGCTGATGATGATATGATCAAAAGTTTCTCTTGTTGAGATTCTTTTATAGTCATCTGACAATTATCTGAAATACTAATACAGTATGGTTTCATTTATTCTGATTTCAGCCTTTCATTCTGTTTGGACCAGCTATCTTTCTGTAAGTGTTGCTGTAACTACTGCTGGGGAGATAAGAGGGAAGTGAACTGGCTGATAATATAACACCTTCAAAGCAGCAATAACCATGATAAAACTAACAGTAGCCAGGCCAGTTCACAACCCACTTCTCTGCTCAGCAGTATTTACAGAAACTCTCAAGAAGGATCTCTAGTCTAAATAGAATGTAGGGTAAAAATCAGAATAGATAATCCCATATTTCTTTGGCATTTCAGAAGATTGTCAGAAGACAACACTAACTTTTGCTTAGGATATCATGATTCATGATGTATTGAATTAAGATAAACACAGTGTTTGTGTTAGGGGTTACATAATTGATTGAAAGTAGGTGTTACAGGTGATAAAGCTGTTATTATAAAGCTAGCCTTCTGTGCCAGTGATTCTTAAGAAAATGAGCTAAGTATACTGTATTAATGAACTTTTAAGCATATGTTAAATTAATTGGTGAATAAACTCGAGTTTGAAGAGCATGTGATAAGAGAATGTAAAAAAGTAATATTACACAAGTGATGACTTTCATTTAATTATCGATGAAATTTTAGATTTAATTCCTTCTTTGTAGATGGTTTTCTTTTAAAAAAAATCTTTTGTTAAACGTAGCGGAAATAAAGTTGCTCATGAGTTAGCTCACTTTCAAGTTTTAACTGTGGGAAATCGAGCATAGTTATGAAAAATCAATATCCCCGGAAAACATTATGGTCTAGCTTCTAAAGCCCAACTAATACAATATTTTGATTAGGTGAGATATTAGTGTCCACTTAAAAAGCCTAATATGTCCTTACCTTTTACTTATTCTTTTTAAATGTTTGATGTATTTTAAGTCTTAGACTTCAAAATTCAAAATACATATCATCGCGTGCATATAAATTTAGTTTCAACTAATTCAACAACACTTCACTTATACGGAATACAACATTTGTGCTCATTATTCTAGCAAAATTGTACGGCTAAAGTATTCACGAGAAATGTTGATTGAATTATTCTAGCAAAATTATACGGAGTACTGGAGTAGCATGTATATGTCCGTCTAGATTTGAGTCATCATACGGTTGATGAAGTGTTCCCTTAAAAAAAAAAAAAAAATGAGATTTTCCATCAGTGTTCTCAAATTTTTTCCCCAACAAAATTGGAGTTTTTCACTTTTACAAAGCGTACTCTGACTTCTCTATTGAAGCGGCTTCAGAAGTTTCTCATCTCCATTGAAGCAGCGTTTAAGGTAAGATGTTTATTCCTTTTTTTTCATCTGATAATAGAAAAATTAATTTCAAATTGCTGTTATATTATAAATCCAGAATTAAATTAAAAGCTTCAATCTGAATTTGATTTTCGAAATGCTGCTGATTCATAATCTCTCTCTTCAAATTACAGAATGAACCAACAACAGCGTAACTTGATTTTACAATCTTCCTCCAACTTCCCACCACCCAAAGATACAATCTTTCCTCAATTTCCCCTTCAATTTCAATAAATTATTTTGAATTAATCAAACAAGAAAAGTAAATTTATTCTTTCAATTTGATAATAAAAACAAAAAATGCAGGGGTGAAATTATCGTATGGAACAGCAGGGTTTAGAACAGATGCAACCCTTTTGAGATCAACATTGTATAGGGTTGGAATCTTGGCTGCTTTAAGATCCCTTAAAACTCAATCATTGATTGGGCTGATGATCACAGCTTCCCATAATAAGGTTTCTGATAATGGTGTCAAAATTGCTGATCCAAATGGTGGAATGTTGTCTCAGAATTGGGAACCCTTTGCTGATTCTCTTGCTAATGCTGCTGATCCTCTTCAACTTCTTCAGGTTTATCTGCTAATTATGTTGAATTTATTTTAATTTTTTTGGTTTTGTTTAGTTTGAACATAGAATGTTGGAATTGTGTTAAATTTGCAATTTGTTTTTGTGGGGGTTAGTAAATTAATCTAAGTTATAGTTTGATTATTATCTAATCCGGGTTGAAAATTATCATGTTGCCTAGATTGGAGTGATTTGAGAATACCCTTCATCTATGTTACTCAGACTTGATACAGGCATGTGTCCAAGTAATAGACTCGGCTTTTTTAGAAAAAAAATATCAATGTTTTTGGTCTAAAGTGATGTATAAGTGTTGATACTACCTATGTTTTGTGTCAAAGATCTGATATGGGTACAGGGTACTTTCGATAAAATGAAGAGTTGAGTAGCATAGCCGTCATATTATATTTGATAATGTTGTTGATAATAACTTGAGATCACCACTATTGTGGAAGTTGGTATATTGGATTTTGTTGGACCTATCTTTCTCTTTTGTGGCTTATATTGCTTATGTTGTAAGTTTGTAAATAGGATTGTATTGAATATAAATTTATCAATACCCATCTTGTATTAGTACAATTTTATATTTGAAGAAAGACTGTTGTTTATGGGTTGTTGCTAAGTTTAATTCATATTTCAAAACAGCTTATTGAAGAATTTGTGAGGAAGGAGAACATCTCATTTGACAATGCCTATTCAGCCGAGATCTTGCTAGGAAGGGACACCCGGCCCAGCGGAGAGTCTCTCCTAGAAGCTGCAAAGCAAGTAATACTTATCTCTTCATGAGCAATCTGTTGATACAGCAATGCCAATTATGTAGTTCTTTGAATTGTCTCCGAAGTATTAAATTATCTGCTTATTCTATTCAAGGGTATCAGCTCTATAACTGGTGCAATTTACCATGATATGGGAATTTTAACCACCCCGCAATTACATTGGATGGTCCGTGCTAGAAACATGGGTATGAATTCAACAGAGCAGGATTACTTTGAGCAACTCTCACATTCCTACAGGTTAATGTGCACACCATGCAAATCTTTATTATATTTCTTCTACTCCATTCTTTTGAACAATGACAACACAATTACCTTCTTGAATCACTCAATTTATACCACTGTCATAATTGGCTCAGGTGTTTAGTTGAATTGATTCCAGACGGAATTAAAGGGAGAAAATCTTATGATAAAGTGGTAGTTGATGGGGCTAATGGTGTAGGAGGTGATAAACTTGATGTTTTGAAAGACATGTGCGGTGGTCTATCAATAGAATTAAGAAATTCCAGCAAAGGAGAAGGTGTTCTGAACGAAGGAGTTGGAGCTGATTTTGTGCAAAAAGAGAAGGTCATGCCTTCTGGGTTTGGCCCTAATGATGTTGGGCTGAGGTTAGTCATCTCTTTTTTCATTTGGTTCTAATCATTAGTATTGCTTTGTTTTCAACTTTTCACTTGATTCTTTTGTATCTGGTGGTGGTTCTGGAACATGAAGCCTCCTTTTAACTACAACAGAATTCAGTATGTGCTTTCTTGGTCAACTGTAAAATTTGACGCAGAATGATATATCTTATCAAAGCTTTCAAAAACCTCCTGGCGTGGAATTTTGGCTTTCTTACCTGATAAAAGGTTTTGGGATGAATTGGTGTAATTTAACTTGGTTCATCTAACTGGAGATACATTTTTTTAGCTTTATATTCTGGCAATGTCAAGATCTCAATTCTCATCCTGGTGTAGATCATTCAAGTAAGAAGAGCACTGCTCTTTTGGCTGGGATTGATTAAAATTCTGGATTCTATGCCAAGCTTAATATAGGTTTTTATGTAAAATGGAATGTGATAATCATGTAGAAAAATAATCTATGTTTCTGCTTGATGGCATTATGGAAATCAAGAAATCTGATTTTCAGGTTATCACTCTGTTTTGCCTTTTACATACATTGCTATAGATAAATTAGAGCCCAAACTCAAAATAGCGTACTAGTACTGTGAATGAAAGGTGAAAAGAAAAATTCTATAATTGAAACAGACAAGGTAAATTAAACAAGCAGTTCTTTAGGCTTATTGCTATTGAAAGTAATCTGTTATCTCTGTATAGTTTCATTTCATATTTCATGACTGAAAAGTATTCCAACTTCAGTTTTCGTGCTAACTTGCTAAGTCCTCGTAATAGATTTTCCATTTAACTTTAACTAACTAGTGTTGAAGTAAATATTGATTCTGGTTACATCTATGAAGTATTCATTTTTATTAAGGGAAATGTTGGAACTGTGGAAGCCAGGCTAACTGCTGATGGTTCTAGCATTTCAGGTGTGCAAGCTTTGATGGGGATGCAGATAGGCTTGTATACTTTCTTGTGCAACCAGACAGTAAAGTGATTGACCTTGTTGATGGGGACAAGATGCTATCATTATTTGCTCTATTTATTAAAGAGCAATTAGATGTTCTCAAAGACATTGAAATTGAAAAACCATGTGAACCTTATCATCCACGTTTAGGCATAGTGCAAACTGCCTATGCTAATGGGGCATCAACCGATTATCTGAAGAACTTGGGGTTAGATGTTGTCTTCACTCCGACTGGAGTGAAATATTTACATGAAAAGGCTTCTCAATATGATATCGGTATATACTTTGAAGCAAATGGCCATGGCACCATATTGTTTTCTGATAGTGTTCTATCTTGGTTGGAGGCTAGAAATAGTGAGCTCTCTTCCTCTTCTACAGGTCAGTTAATGTATAATGTTATTGCAATTCATACTTTTATTCTCCTTGATCAGACTTACTAAACAATGTTCTTTGCCTTTTTCAGGCTCGGAAAATCAAAAGGCTGTGTTGAGATTATTAGCAGCCAGTAAACTTATCAATCAGGCTGTTGGTGATGCTTTGAGTGGATTGTTATTGGTAGAAGCCATCTTACTACATACAGGATGGTCAATTCAGAAATGGAATGAACTCTATAAAGATCTTCCTAGCAGACAGCTTAAGGTTTGTCACTTTGTTGAATTTTTCATTGGAAAGTAATTGAAATATTCTCAATAACAGAATCCTCAACTCTGTTTGCTGGTTTCATTTCAACCTTTGAAAGTTTTTCTGAGAGCTCTTGATCCTTTTTGGTTTCGTTGATTAACTGCAACGACTCTTAGGTGAAAAGTTGACTGAGCTTTCACTGCATACTAAGGGACATGTGTCTTGTAAAAGGAAGTTACAGAGTAAATAATTTGTTAGATTATAATTGTTTGTTTCTTAAAGTTGAGTACTGTTACTATATACTTTGTATAGTTAAAGATATATTCCATAAATTTTTGCCAATCTTGGTATCACCATGATTTACATATTTAGTTATAAACTCACTCTAAAGTGGACATTGACATATTAGTTCCTGCCCTCTCATTGTGAATTGTGTATTATTTCTTTTTAGCTGTAGATTATCTACGTTAATCACATCAGTCCATAAAAATTTTCTTCTGCGTTGGAGTTTCAGGTCAAGGTTGTCGACAGAACAGCTGTTGTCACTGCAAATGCCGAGACTATAGTTGTACAGCCCGCCGGTATCCAAGATGCGATTGACACTGCAACTGGTAAAGCCTTCACTCTCTAGAAATCTGTATTCAAACTCTTTTATGAGTTGGTGAAGCAAATTTTGATGTTTGTCTGTAGCTTTATTCATTCCCTTTTTCAAATGGCAGCTTTTTTTTTCCTACTATCTGAGTGATCAGCTAATTGACTTTTTTTTTTTTTTTTTTTTTTTTTTTTCACGAGAGCAGCAAAGTATCATCATGGACGATGTTTTATCCGACCATCAGGCACAGAGGAGGTCATTCGGGTGTATGCAGAAGCCACCACCCAAGAAGAGGCAGATAATCTAGCTAGTGATGTAGCAAAGCTCGTAGATCAGTTCCTTGGATTGCGCAGCTCTCAATAAACAAATTGGCCGGCTGGTTTTTTTTGTTGCAGGATTAGTTATAACATGGGAATTGGCTGCTTGTTTGCCTCAGCCAATCCCCTTTTTATAGATCAACATCAGGGATCCTTTTTCTCTTGACATATGTATAACTGAATTAATAAGTTCAAAGGTTATACAGAAACAGGTTTTTCCCCTTGATAACAGAAGTGGCATTAACAGATTTTTTTTCCTCAATAATAATGGCATATTGCTTGCATAAAAAGCACCTTATTGTCAATTGTGTGAAGTATCAATACATATATGTCTAATTAATTCATGCAAGTTTGATAAATGGCATTTGATGCTAAATTCTGTGGATTTGATTTTTGATAACAACTTGGCAGCTTGGTCCGTCCTTAAAATGTTATAGACGCCCAAAAATTTTGACATACCATATTTTCTCCTTTTACGAAAAATAGTACAATAAGAAATGTTTTATGGTAAAATTATGTCATAAATTTCGAGTATGTTGCCTATTAAGCTTATGCTGTCTACAATTTTGTCCTTTGTAACAAATAAAAGTACTCTATGTAACATTGTTCAAATATCTACGCTGTATAAATTACTGTCAAAATACGGCAATGTTCATGTTGCCTGCATCCTTGTCAAGAGTATGGGCGTATGGCAATGTTCATGCTGTATTCTCTGTAAGCTCTAGTAACAGTCCAAACAGACACCATTCAGAAGTAGCTAGATCACTAGCCGTTATCTTAATATCAGCTACAATTTGCTTGATTTAACAAGTATAAGTGTTTAACCTCAGAAGGGGTGATAACAGAGATCCTCTCGCATCATCTAGTGTCAAGATATATCTACAATTCACCCTTTAGTGAAATCTCTAAGATAAAGAGAAAACTAGGCAAACATGTGCATGATATTAGAGCCTCGACATTATCTGTACTTATCAACCATAGATAGCCTTCAGGGTAGGAACTCACGAAATAATGAGAAAAAAGAAAAAACAACCCTCTCTATTTTTTCATAGTTCTTCTGTTAGAAGGGGTATGGAATTGAACTATGGGAGTGAAAGGATTGATAGGAAAGCTAAGCCTCTTAATAGAGCACATTCTAGTGCATCAGTGCATGAGATGACCATGATGAACAAGTCATTATACATTTCATCACATCTGATACCTCCATAAATTCATCCAATCTCAACAGTTTATCTATAAAACAACATCGACAATTAAGTCAAGCAAAACCCCAAATTGAAAGAAATATGCAGAAGGATAGTACAGGAGAAATCCAACTTTCCTTAAAGAACCCTGATTCCCTTCCTATCAAATCAAAGCTAAGGGATAACTGTTTTCGACAACCACGAACCACGCTCCCTCAACCAATTTTTTCTCCTCTCTTTCGACTCAAATTCATCCATAACTATCATAGAAGCAAAGGTTGTAAATTAGTTGAATTCTAGCTTAGAAATGCTAATTGTTTCAGTTCTCAAACTGTCAGCAATTCCTTAACCTCTCAGCATGCATAATTGACAATCCACACATCCTTACACTCTTACTATCCTACATTCCTACACCTACCCAACACTTAGAAAAGGTTCAGCCTAAACTACACTTACTGCATTAACACACAAAACACTAACAAAAATCAATCATTTATAACCCTAATTCAATCAACAATTGAAATGCCATGAAATCAATCACACAACAAAAATTCAAAAATTAAACCCCAAATTTCTTGAGAATTTTCCATTAATAATAACATTCAAGATACAAGAAAACACTTAATTCCATAACATTGAAATTATGAAAATTAAAATAAAATAAAAAAAAAAAAAAAAAGATTGATCAGAAAACAACCCGAAATTGGGGGGCGTTAGAATCATCAGCAGGGAGAATTTCCCAACGACAAGGCTCGAGTTCCTCAGAAACAGGGCAATACCCAGCGAGCGTAACCTTATCCGTGGAGGCAGCAACCGACCCGAATTCAAAAACGGTTACCTCCGTCGCAGCAGGGCGTCGGACTTCCACGGCGCCGTTCAAACCTTCCACCGCTTCGCCGGGTTTTGATTTAGATTTCTCCGGTGGTGGTTTTGTCTCCGGGGACTTGTCCTTGCGCTTCCACCATAGAAGACCCATTTGGTTTGGTTTGGTGATGCGGAGGAAAGTGGTTTGGCCTTCTGGGTGTTGAAACTAGGAAAGGGTTTATCTTCTATTCTTGGGAAGGAGAGGAGAGGGTTTTTGTACTTCTTTTTTTTTTTTTTGGGTAAAGAAATTACTCGCTACGTGTACGTCCTATTAGGCTCGGAACCTCTAGATTCTGAGATACGGAGTATAATCCTTACCAAGTCACCGTATCAAATGCTATTTCAGCTACATAGTATTACAACATGAGAATTTCGAAGATAGGTTTGGTTCAACTTGTTCACTTAGAAGTCGAAAATTTTAATTCAACTTATTTCAATTGAAGCAGTAAATCTAGCCAGTTGGTCTGGTCTACTATTTCTATGATTATATGTACTTGCATATGAAAGAATGGAACATTCCGTAATTTGACGTACCTTTATTTTTATGATAAATGAGTATCATGTAATTGTCACTTGATAAATGAGTATCATGTTTATGATAGAGATGAAGTTAGTATTTTTTTTTTATACCATACTACTTGTGCAATCTATGAATCTGGGGTCGGGATTTATGTCTAATGTATCTCAAGAAATATTAGTGTCACTAAGGATGAGCAAATCAGGTTTCAGTCAAAAATTTAGGAGAATTTTAAAACCAGATTAGAATTGTCGGGTTAATCTACTCTTTTTTGCGGAGAGTTGCAGTAACAAAAACTAACGAGCCAAAAACAATATTTTTCCATTAATGAGCTGAAAAAAGAAAACATCACAATATTCCTAGAAAATTAACAGTTGCAAATTGCAATGACAACCTCCTCTACCACCTCCACCTTAATTTGAAGTTGATAATTGTGACAAACACTTTCATTTACTAATTACACATCAGAAAATTACATACACAAGGGAAAAAACACATCCCATAAAGAGCATATATCAACCCTCCTGGGCCGAAATCAAGTCCAAGATATATCAAAGGCTAGCATAATCATCATAGTCACCCATTTTGATGAAACACAAAATGGCTAAAATTAATACAAAAAAGGAAGAAAGCTCCATGGTTAGGGCTCCCCAACCAATAATACCAGCGTGCTTTAAAATAGTTGGTATTGCAATACTGCCAACCACTGAAGCCCCCGTTAAAAATTTGGTCGCATTCAACCAACTGTTGGACAAATAGAAAAAGGGGCACAAGAATGACATTCAGTATTGTAAGTTTGTGACATTAGAAAATCTCACAGTAATATAAAAATAAGCACTAATAACAACCTGTTATCAGAGGCTTCTGTAAAGAGCGAAGAGGCATCAGATACAGCAAAGAACATCATAGGCATAGGGAGGAGGACATACATTATAACTGCAAATTAATAAACCCGAGCAATGTCAGAGTCAAGCACAAAAGGTTCAGCGTTTGACACAAGAAAACTTGCTAGAAGAATTATGCAATTCAACTATTTTGTCACAAATCATTTTCCTAGACAAGTCACATTGTTGGCCGGGTTGGGATAGGTGTTGGGGAACGCATCAAAAGCTAACTGTATTCAACAGAAGTTCTTTTTTTTTATTTGCGGGGGGGTGGGGGGGTGTGCAGATGGGAATTGAAGGGAGAGCGGGGAGAAGGGGAGATGTGTAGAAGAAGTAATAAATCCATGACCTATACTAAGGAAGCATAGCAACGAAATTAAAATTGACAAAAATGACATGTACTTTAATTCTTTAAACATCCCAATAGTCAAGTTCAACACCTTCTCAATCAAAGTATATGCTCATGCATATACACAAAATTGGAGTACATAGTAATATAGTATATACAATGAAAATATATGTTCTATGTAATATTCAATCATTTGTACCTGTAAGCATCGGCCACCAGTTATTGTACAGAGCACAAGCCTGCGAGCAGCATAAAGCAGCTGTAACTTGTAAGACATTGATTAATCCATGAAAAAATCAAAACAACAATGGAAGGAAAGCATGATGTTGATACCGACCAAAATTTGCAATACAATTCCTCCGGACACCAGAATTGCTAGAAAAGCAAGCTTCCCACTTTGCACACAAGTCACCATATAACCAGGTAAGTCTGCCATTATGTCGTCTCACTCTCACCACATAGGTTGAAATCCCTGAAAGTGAAATAGAAAGAAATAAACTAAAGTGACGAGAAGCAAATCAACCTATAAATATACCCTAGTTATTATTGTGAAATTCATGTACAGCAATCCTGCAGACAAACTAGTAGCTTCATGCCTTAATCTACTATTTCACCACCATTGAGTCCACGAGACAATATGCACACATACAATCATTTGCACTACCATTTTCATCCCCCACAAAGCTACAACTATGGCAAAATAGCTCTCAAATAATTCTGAAGACGTCCACAATATTATGCAATCTCCAATTTGGTAATGAACTAATGATGATGGGGCCATTTCTTGTCACAAATAGGCATTCCACTGCCACTGCCTGGCAATGAGCCCTTGAATCCATTTCAAACTATATCTAATCATGCTAGAATCCTCAGTTCCAACAACAAAAAAACACACCCAAATATGAATATACACCAAATGCAACTATTCCCTCCGTTCCACCAAAATTGCCCCATTTGACCATTTTTATAAGAGCTAATTGGATTAAATGGTGGCAATCCCAATGAAATGGAGAGAGTACTATTATCCACAATGTAATCTAATTAACCTATTTCGCTAAAAATGGCAAATTAGTAAGAGCGATTCATGCAATTTGGATCTATTTTATCAAAACTAGGTACCCAATTACGCAATTACGTAACAGTGGTTTAATCTATTCGAAATAAAGTTGCCACTTTCACTGACAATTGAAATCCAAAATCCAAAAGTAACCAAATCAATGATATAATACACATTAACAGACAAAAATATAATCAATTGATTGAATTCATGGCTAAATGCGAATAATCGCCATTAATAAATATAATCAGTATTGTGTAAATCAAGTATTGATTTAGCATAATTCTTTATTTAATTTGTGAAACAAGTGATTCGAAATTGAAAAAAATAATGATGGATAAATTGACGACAGCATACCAGGTGAGAATGATGTTTGATTCGAAGGATGAGTAATAATTGTTAATGGAGAAATAAAGAGTGCAGAAATCAGCGAGAATTAGATGGAATATCTAGGCACGTCGACAGATAGGTACAAAGTAAGAAAGTACAACCACTCCCTCGGACTAGCTTTGGAGAGATAGAGAGTAGAGATTCCAGATGACTTGCCGGCTTGTCAATTCTTTTGTTTTTGCTTGATGAGTCCGTTAAAATAGTTGTCATGCTGTCTACCCGATTTTTATCGATTAAAATTTATTTTTACGAATAGACGGATAGTTAAGGGTAATAAGGTGTGCTTCAACCATCACTCTTGAAAATAAGTTTCAAGTTCTATCAAGCCTCAAAAAATTAGGTTTAAAAAGTGTAAACATAAGGTTAAATTAAGGAAAAAAAAAAGTTATTAGGTATTTAGGTTCAACCGTTCAATCAAGTTTGATAAGTTTAATTAGATGAAGAGAACGTACTCTCAGTGTAGCGTAATGAGTTGGCTTCTAATCAGACTTTATTGCTTCATTAATTTTAAGTTGTGGCATAATTTTATAATGTAGGTCATATAACTTTTAAAGCACAAGTTTAAAAGTCTAAAAATAATGCTCTTGATATAAAAATCGATTCATGTATGTGTGTGTCCATCCACAATAAGTACTTCCTATGTTACTTCGATACCCTGTTGTATATCGAGTATCACATGTCGGATTCTCCCACAATTCGACATGACACCCGATATATAGTGGCTTGTATAATTTTTTTTTAATATATATAAAATTCTAAAGTGTCGGATGATTCAACACCTTGTCAGACACGATGCCCAAATTTGAGTATGAGCAACATAGCGTAATTCACTTAAAGTCTTACATCATAATACATACGTAGTATACTAGTATATGGAGTAAGTACTTGTATTTTATTTATTTTTGGCACAATCGTATGTAAGGTGGTTCGTGTGGGCTCAAAGCAACGTTCGTCTTCATCTCTGGATTTGGAATCCAGCAAGTTAGCTCGTGTAAAGTTTACTCACACTGGTCTTTTATGGGGATTTATCACTTAATATAATTGTCGTTGTCTTGTGTATTTTGTGATATTGTTGTTTTCATTATACGAAGTATATGATCTTCTTATTAAAAAAAAATCCAATTTTTTTTTAACCTTGATTTAAAATTGATTAGAGAAATCAACAATCTCAAGTCTAAATTTCTGAAGTGGGGGGGAAAAGAGAAGAGAGAAAGAGCCCTTCACAAACTCAATTGATCCTCTTCCTTTTTCTCGCCAGCAGATCAAACCAAAATTGATCAGCAGCAACAATGTCTTCTTCAACACCAAGAAGACGCCCAAAATCATCACCCAAAAACCCTAATTCCAAATTCATCCCAAATCACTCTCATTCTCCTACCTCTTCTTCGACTCTTACTTCATTACTTGCAGAAGTTGAACCACCCCCTAATTTACTTCCTTCAAAATCCGATTTTCTCAAGCTCATTGTTGTCATCACAATTGCCGCTTTTGTTGCCATTTTCTGCAACTTCTTATCCAGCTTCATCAATCGCCCCTCTTTACCTTTCTGCGATTCCGACGTCGGAGAATACGATGTTTCATTGCTCGGTAATCTTCACTCTCTGCTTTCATGTCGCAATTTTGTCTATTTTTTCGTGTTTTTATGATTATTTCTACGAGTATGTGAATACGTGATGAGGTACAGTTTGTGTTGCTCTAATTGTTACTCGATTTTGATTTTATATCATGATTATGGGCATGAAGTAATTTAAATTACTGGAAAATCTTAGATAGTAGTTGGGCCATTCATTATTATATACATTTTGATGAAATGTGTGTTCAAGATATTTTAGAGTAGTATAATTAGAGGAATATTAAGGAATGATAGAGTTTGCTCGGTTTTATTGAATCATAGTTCCCGTTTTTGGGTTTCATAAACTATAAGGCAATAAAGTACAAATCGATATGAATTGTGCCTTATATGGGGTCAAAGGAGGTACTAATGTGCATGATTTTGGAAAATCTTGGCTGAATTATGTTTCGTACATTTGCTGTTATAGATGTTCTGCCATTCATTCTCACTGAGGTTGATAATTTTCTAGTAGAGAAGGGTTGAAATATGTTGTACGTCTTTGAATTTCCTGTTAGTTACATTGATGGTTATTCCCATTAAGTGGTATGGAAGTGGGTTGTCATTAAACCAAGGGTCTATTAGGAAACAAGTAGGGGAGGTGTGGTGAGCGAATAAGAAAACCACTGCTCTTGTTTGGATATTAGAGAAAAGGAGGGAAGAAGAGGGAAAAATTATCAAGTAATAATCATCTTCGTTGACAGGAATGTTGTATGAATGTTGTTTTGCTGCCATGAGAGTTGTTAGCCCCTTTATTTGCTATTTTGCTTGTCAAACAAAGGAAAACGCTTATGTTCTTTTCCCTTCCTTTTCTGTTCATTTATTCCTTCTATTCAAACAAAGTGTTAAACTCTATGTAAAAGCTAATGCTTCAGAGTAAAACAAACAAATCTATAAGCAGAGGGAGTTCTTGTTTGTGTTTGCTTGAGCTGTTCAAGATGAAGGTCTCATACCAATTCTTTTGGGGGTGGGGGGTTATAGTTACTTTAGGCGTTCCTTTTATCTGATACTTAAGGGAATGGAATGGGCCAAACCCACCCCCAAGGTTTCCAAACCCCATACCTCATGGTTTTGAGGTATGGGTTTAAAATTCATACTTTTGACAACCAAACATATGGTATTGGTTTTAGTCACTCTAAAACTATACCTCATACTTATATTCAGCGAACCAAACGCCTCGGTTTAATTTATTTCACATTGTTGATCTTACAGATACATGTGAGCCTTGTCCAAATAATGGAAGGTGTTACAAGGGCCAGTTGGAATGCATTCAAGGATATAGGAGGTATGGAAAATCATGCATCGAAGACGGAGATATCTATGAAGCAGCTAAGAAACTTGTAAGCTGTTGTGTCCTTGCTTTTTGTGCAGTCATGTGATCTTCTTTTTGACTGAACTAATGGATGTTCTCACCTTGCTATGGCTTATTTTTTATATTTTTTACGTTGCTAATTTCAGTCAGTATGGGCAAAAGATCATCTGTGTGAAGCACATGCACATTATATATGTGATGGAACTGGGACAATTTGGGTTTGTCACTTCTCTGCTGTCAGACTTTGTGAATTTTTTGCTTGACTCCTGAGAGTGCCAGAATTGTTTAACTCTGTTAGAATTTTCTTTTTACTGTAACTCTGTTTAGGTGTCGGAGGACAAGTTGAAGGACATGCTGGACAAAGGATTCCAAGGTTCTACTGCATATGATATCAAGTATCTATATGCAAAAGAAAAAGCATTGGAGGACATTAGTGGACTGCTGGATACGAGAACCATTGGCAACAGGTATGCTTTCTTCTACGGCAAATAGAACAGTTTATATTGAATAACTAACTATCAGGATTGCGGTCAGAGCTTCTAACTTTATAATTGATCACATGTCTCAAAAAAAAGGGTCAAACATGATTCTGATTGCTGACCATGTTCATCAAACCTTAAGGCACACAATTCATCTCCCCTTGTCTCCTAATATACTTCCAATTGAACCTTTAGTGCTAATGAATTAAAGGTATTGAATACATGTTTTGATTGACTATCTCAGATTTGCAATTGAATGATTGATGGACAATTATAAAGCTTTAAGCACAAAAAAATATAGGGTGGTGTCTGCCTGGGTGGTGCAAGCTTATGGGTGAGAGAGATATAGATAGATAGAGAGGGGCTATTCTGACATCATATGATAGGCTGCAGCCTGTGTTTCTATTTTTGTGTCCAGTACCAAACTGAGTTATTCACATACCATGTAACAGGGTTTTGTAAGCGGGGTCGGTTACATGAACCAAAAGTGATTATTACGTGTAGTCATCGACAAAAATCTTCCTCCTCCATCCCTTACGATCCAATGCCTCATCCTCATGCATTTGTAATTTGAATCAGTCTAAAATATTTTGTGAATCTTTTCTTGCAGGGTCAAAGAGTTTAAGTGTCCTGACAAATTAGCTGAAAGTTACAAATCAATGACTTGTCGTGCTCGGCAATGGGTAGCTAAGAATCTTTTACTTCTCATGGCAGTATTTGTACTGGTATTCAACTCTTATCTCAACTCAAAATTTAGCATGAACTTCGTGATCATTATGATGATATAGATATTTACAGCTTGCAGGATCGACATTGTTGCTGTTGAGAATTCAAAGAAGATGGTATTTGACAAAAAGAGCAGAACATCTTTACCATCAGGTTAGCATTTGGCACTACCTTCCTTAATACTTCAAACAACGTAATATCTAAGTTGGTGCAAGACTGAGATATTGGATGTCACGGTGGCTCATTTATGAAGATTTATGGTGCTTGTTTATGAGTAGTTAGTACTTGTAAGCTTGTAGCGGGTGATCGTGGAAATTAATTTTGAAATCAAGCTTGATCATAATTAGCCAAAATTTGGATTTTTTTTTTTTTTTCCTGTGGCGTGGGTCTAGGGCCTAGGCCCTCCTTTATATAGAATTTTGTTGATAATAGCTGTAGTTTTTATCTTAATAAGCACCTAGAATTTATAGTATGGAACTGACTTTTAAATTAGTTATTCTTGAGGGTGGTTATTAAACATGGCTTCTATAAATTCTTTTTCAAAAATTGCAGTCATGATGTGAACAACATGTCTCTGAATTTAAGTTTGGCATAAAATGTGGAGTACCTTTACTCTCTTAAGTAACTTTTTGACCAAATGATCAGGATATCAGAAAGTACTTTGAATGCAATGTCTCTGTGAGTACAAGCTAATTAAACTGATTGCATTCGTGTACGTAGAATGCTCATATCTATGAAACTGACTGCAGCTTTACAATGGAAAGGTAGGTACTTGTAGGCATTGCCTTTGGTTTCTTTCTTTCCATGTGCCCACTTCCTCATTGCTAATGAAAGTATTGAACCATCTTCCATGCTTGACATTGTTTCATACTTTCATGCAACATCTAGCCTTAAAACAATTGAAAATGTTGATTAGAGAAAATAGCCTAATTTATTGGGTTGTAAATCAGCTATATTATGAGAAGAGCACTCAATGGTCCTACTGCAGAAAATGAAAGCTATTGAAAATTCTGAAGTGTGGAAGCTGCTGCTATTTGTAAATCTGTTATCTGTTCATTGACTTCATTCTCATGACAATATCTAGCTAATGCTTCTTATTATTGACATTTTTATGTACTGCTTTTAAATTTTCTTTGAAAAATTGTCAGGTTTGTGACACACTTGAGGACAATGCTATAATGTCTAGATGCATGGGTGACAGAGAACCCTGGTTAATTGCCTCAAGGCTCCGAGATCATATACTTACTCCCAAGGAAAGAAGAGATCCTTTTCTATGGAAGATGGTATTTCTCTCCTTTTTCTTTACCCCCCTATCATTGGAGTTCTTAATGCATTTTAGGATTTTCAAACATGTGTAATTACACTGTGTCCTCTCACTTGTCACCCAGTGCTCTTTTTTTTCCCTTGCAAAACAGGTAGCACATAAAATTTAGTTGCATTCCCTCAGGTCAATAATATTTGCTAACTTAACTGTCTTCAACTCTTCACTCCCCCCCCCCCCCCCTCTCCTTCCCCAACAAAAAGAAGAGGGGGGGGGGGGGTTGTCGATTTTCTGTTAACCCCCTTTTACACTGTGCTTCCCTGAACTCCCCTATATCAACCCAGATTTTGTAGGTGGCTTGTTAAGGATATGTTTGTTTCAGATAATTTCAGACATAATAAGTTCAGATAAAAAAAAAAAATTCATGCAAAATAAGTTCAAAATTTTAATAAAATTAGTTGAAACAAAATCAAATAAGTTCAGATAAAATCAAATAAGTTCAGACAAAATAAAATACCAAGTTCTAATAAAATAAATTCAGACAAAATGAGATGAACCAAATAGAGCCTTATCTTTTTTGGATATGTCTTGCTATCACCAGCTTGATGACTAATTATTGGTTAGGAGTTGCTAGTTTCCCCACTTAAAAATTAGATTTCTTTTGCAAACTTTTTTTGTTGAAAAGTGAGAAGCTAATGATTCTCCATAAAAAAAATTCTTGGAGCATATACATTTGCTCTCTGTTTAAGTTTTTTCCAAAACTTTGGCCTGTTGTGAGTCTACTTGGCAACACAATGTTGCTTAACAGCTGAGGGTCATTATTAAGTATGATATTTACCATCCTCGTTTAATCACGTAATAACTTTTTGGCACCAATGGAAAATATCTCTGATTGGAGCTGTGAGCTAATGTGACTGGCTGTGTACTTGTGTAGTGTTGTCATTAGTACAATATTTTAACTTTATGATATTTTTTACTTTTTTGTACATTTTTGACGGTATATACACATTTCTATTTTTATAGTATTTATACTGATTCTCATTTGATCTTTCTATAAATTAGGTTGAAGATTTGGTGGAGTCGGATTCTCGTTTGGACCGCTATCCAAAGCTTGTGAAGGGTGAATCAAAGGTGGTGTGGGAATGGCAAGGTACAGAAATGCAATTTGGGTTCTATATATACCGTATCATTATGATTTTTAATTAGCTATCTTAGAGCCTCATTTTGCAACATAAAGTCTAATTGAATTGATAGTTTATCTAATTAAAGGGAAAATTGAGATGACTATAACTTATTATGTATCACTTGATTTGTGAATTACGGACGTGTCACTAAAATGTAGTTCTAAGAGAAAATATGTTTTCTAAGTGTTATTGCAATCTAATAAGAATCTTCATGACAATTTGACTGTTAACCTTTCCCTAAGAGTTGCTCTTGGAATTTTGCTATTGTTGCACGTAGACTTTGCTTTGCTAGTTATTAGATTCTTTTTTCTTATAAAAAAGACGTCTAGCTGTCTCTTCGAATTGGTAATTTGGTATGTTTATTGAGGATGCATAAATTGTTGTTAGAAGGGCAATTTGGGTAAAGAAAAATACATCAAGAGAATACCCTAGTCCCTAGGTCCTTTAGAAATTTGGGAAAGAAAAATTGTACGCCAAGAATGCCAACCACGCTTTACATTGGACATTGATTTTTTTAATTAAAATTTTCTCACAAAGCAACACCTGTGAAAGCACATTAATAAGGGTAACAACTCTTATCTCAAGGGCTTATGAGTTGTTGAATAAGACCTGAGAATAGCAAAGCATGGAGAACCAAAGGAACATCCTTTAATTTTTTTAGTGTTAAACTCACCCATTCACAAATAGTGGATATGCGAGAATATAAACTATTATTTTGGCTTCCCTGGCTCCCCAAGATACTTTTTCTGTAGAAAAGTACATCCTTTTGTTAAATTCTGTCTTCACATAATCACATATCTGAGCTTATACCAAGAGTCGATTTGAATCATGAGAGCAATAATTCTTGAGCACATGTAAGATGTAACCATAACATGCTTCATGTTTGTGCTGGATTCTGAACTATTTAGTATGATTTTTAAACAAGTAGTAGATTTGCTTGGCTCTGGTTTAATCATTACTTTGTCTACTTTGTCCTTCTTTGAAGATTAGTCATTACTCATTGCTTCCGTCAATAATAGAAATAAAGATTAACTGTTAGCTGATTTCATTAGCTACTTCTGCTGTTTCATTTTAGTTGACACATGTCTTTATGTATGTTTTTCAATGTGTTTTTTCAATAGAAAAAATTTGTTAAAAGTAAAAAAACCCTAAAAAATTGTAGTATAGTCATGACTGCCATCTCCCTTTGGCAAATCTGGGATCAATACCTTTTTATCCAGTGGGTGGTGGTGGAGCATAATATAGTAAGGTCCTGGAAGAATGCAGTATATGTTAAGGGTTTGAGGAATGCCTTATATATTTAAGAATTATTCAAAAAATAACTTTAATCATCATTAGCATTTTCGAGAAATGAAGCATAATTGACCTTGATGTTGTATAGTTGACTTTTTCATCTCTCTTTAGAGTCATGCTTGTTCTATTAGATTCATGATTTTGGCACCTTGTCGTATCTAAATTAAGTGCTGTCCTGCTCCTACAAATGAATGAAAATGATACGAAGTACATGGAAATGACATATTTGAACTCTGCAATGTATTGTGAACTATCTCCTGTAGTTTTTATGGCCCTTTACTCTGTTTAGCCTTTTTTCTTTTATATTTGAAAAATTAACTTTTATTCCTTGTCTTTCTCTTTTTGCTCTTCATTAGTGGAAGGTTCTTTGAGTTCTTCAAGGAAAAAGAAGGTGGATATTGGCAGTTTGAATTCTGGTGCAGATATGAATAAATCATATGGCTAGAAGCATCAAGTTTAAGTTGGTGAGATACAGAGTTTATACATGGATATGATCATTTGGAGATTCAACATTTTGACAAGTTATCTATCGATTTCCAGCATATAAATTAAAATGTCCTAGTACACTTGTGTCTTCTACTTGTATGTTGTGAAGTGCTCTGTATCATGCAATTGAGACATGTTTGCAGTTGTATGGGGAAGACTAGTCACATGTAATCTACAAAAGCCCCAAAAGGTGTTAAGACTTGTGCATTTGTGCATCATTTTGGCAATTTGATCTTAATTTCTGTACTTCAGATGATCTTAATTTACTTTGTTCTATGTGTGCAGGCTTTAGAAGTTTGTATGAGAACATCCATGTTACCAGAAGAGTCTAGAGTAAATTGTTTTGTAATAGCTGTGCTGGAGACGATTGAGGGGATAACTGTAGCCATAATCAGGGGCTTGTTACAGCTTTCAGCAGCTACATCTTATCGTAACTGATTGCTGTACATCTTTGAGCAGCAACTGGCCAAAGAAGCATTTTTTTCCCCTAGCAGGCGGTGTTTCTGGTCGTCAGTTAGTAGTTTTGTCTATAAAGATGACTGGAAAGCAAAGACAGAATAAAGCTAGAATTCTACAAAATTGCAGAGACGTACACCCCCCCCCCCCCCCGGAGCAAGGAAACGTCATAAATTTTGCATTTGTGTGGAATACCAGATTCTCATGTATCAACTTGTAATTACTTCGTATATTTATATTGAATTTCATTTTACGAAAAAATTCGTTGGGAAGTTTGTGGTGTTTTCAAAATTTGTGCTTCTAGCATCTCATTGACATTCTTGTGTGGAATGGGGTGCTATTTGCCGGCTTATATTGCATGTCGCATCTTATTAATGAGATTTTGTACTTTTGTAGTTCTACGATTCTGTTGTTTGTGTTCAGTACGCAGTTGAATGGTCCCTGCTTTGTGCTGTCAATCTACTTGTATCTGGTATTCTGGTGTCTATAATAACAGAATCCCCCCCCCCTTGTGACACGTGTCGACGTGTGTTTCTTGAATGTCATGAAAAAATCTTGCCCTCGTATACCATTAGACTTGACAAAATACTCTGTTTTAATTACACAACTTTGAATTAATCATAATTGAAAATATACTTGAAATTGATCATGGAAGGAGCATATATTTGCATTTTAATACAGAGAACATAAGTACGAGTACAATTTTTCAAAACACATAGCATCATCCAAATCTAAAATTAATTCACCATGCACTTTTAAGGTGTTTTTTTTTTTATTATTATTTAAACTTTTAAAGTGTTAAAGATTTTTACCGATAGAAAGTTTTTGATCAGTGAAAGGAGAAGTAAAGAAGAAGTAAAAAGATGGGTGAAAATTGTAGTAGTATGCTACTATGTAAATTCTTAATATATAGCCGAACATTTACAATAAAATACACACATGATTGTCCTCTTATTTTACTTATGCATATAATTGATGTCCTAAGAAATTATACATGTGAACTTCATTTGTTATTCTCTTCAACACTCCCTCCTTGAACGTTCACATGAAATGGGGTTGCCTCATTAAAAACCTTGCTAGGTAAAACCCTGTGGGATAAAAATCATAGCTAAGGAAAAAAAGTACAACGATATTATATTATATGCTTTGGTATACTGCCTCGTTAAAAACCTTGTCAGGAAAAACCCAGTGGGATAAAAACCTGATCGAAGGAAAAAAAAAATGCAGTGCATATAATACCCCCTTGATTTCAACATAGTTCACGAAGATGTCGCATTCCAATTTTGTGAACTAATTGCTCAAATTTCTTCGAAGGAAGTGATTTAGTGAACAGGACGGCAAGGTTGTCACAAGACTGAATTTGTTGGATATCTATTTCCTCATCCTTTTGCAGATCATGTTTGAAGAATAGTTTTGGGGATATATGTTTTGTTCCATCTCCCTTAATATATCCTTCAGTTACTTGAGAGATGCATGTTGTATTGTTTTCAAAGATGATGGTTGGATTTTTTGTTATTACATTCATTTCACACTCTTCTTGGATATTACTGATCATCGACCTCATCCATACACATTCTCGTCCTGCTTCATAAAGAGCTATATATCAACTGCATGATTCGAAGATGTTGCAGTCAATGTCTGTTTTGTTGATTTCCATAATATTGCATTGCCGCCATAAGTGAACAGATATCCAATTTGTGACTTGGCATTTTGTGTATATGTAAGTATCCAGCGTAAAAGAAGAATGTTTGAGTTTCTGGTATAGAGGATCCCAAATATGGGCAACTATAGAGCATACTCCTCAAAAACATTTAAAAGTAAATAGTATTTATTTGTTATAAAGTTTGAGAAGTAGGTATAAATATACCTGACTAGGAATTGGTGCTGATAACGTGTTAAAGATTTTTACCGATAGAAAGTTTTTTATCAGTGAAAGGAGAAGTAAAGAAAAAAGTAAAAGAAGATGGTGAAAATTGTAGTAGTATGTTACTACGTAAATTCTTATTATATAGCCAAACATTTACAATATAATACACACATGATTGTCCTCTTATTGTACTTATGCATGTAATTGATGTCCTAAGAAATTATACATGTGATGTTATTTTCTTCAATATAGAGAAAACTTTTAAGGACTTTTTTTATTTAAACTTTTAAAGAACACTTTTAAGAACTTTTAATTTAATAATTTTCCTTGTATTTTCTCCTTAAAATTATAAAAACTTAAGTGAGAACATTCAAAAAAAAAAAAAAAAAAACTTAAGTGAGAATTAATGTTGACCGTTGATGATGATATTTTTTATTATTATAGATCTGACGGCTGACATGTACGCGTGTCATTAATCTAGTTCCTATGTTTTCGTTATTTTTCACTTTTACGCTGCACCCCTCTTTCTCTCTTCTCCATTGAAGCATACTCTGAATTCTCCATTGAAGCGGCTTCTTTGCTTTCTTCCATCGAACCAGCTTCTAAGGTAAGATTCTTATCTTTTGTCATAGCATATCTATCAATTTCACAATTTAGGGTTTAGTTGCACACTACCGTTAATTTAACTTTCAGTATAGTCAATTTAGGGTTCTTCTAAGGTGAACTGTGAACTATTGATTATAATTACTGCACTTATGAAACATTATAACGAGCGATTTTGTTGCTAGCATTTTTGTAATGTGCAATTTATGTTGATATTCTTTAGCATATACGAAGTAGAATTTTATGCAATTTTTTGAGCATATGCTGTTAATTGTGTCAAATTTGGCTGCCAATGTGTTGCAAGATTTTGTTTATAACTCTTTAAAGTTAGGACGAAGCTGTGAAAATGTACCTTTTCTCCCTCGGTTTGGCCCAAGGCGGCTGCCTTTCCTGCCTTGCTTAGGGACGGACCTCGTCGTAGGCAATTCATGTTTAAGAAAATGAAATCTATTGGCAGAAAGACTCTTCTTTCTTTGCCTATCTTTGAGTTAGATAGTAAGAAAATGTAAATTATAAGATACGAGACAATGTTGATTTAGTAGTACACAGTAATTTTCTACTACAAGCCCTTAAGCTAAGTCGCTCTTGGTTACATATGAAATAAGATTAGGGATTTTGGCGAAGTTACCTATCTTGAAATAGGGAAATTTTAATGCTAGTTGTTCGTTTGAGTTGCTTTCAGGTAGCCTCAACTAGGGGTGAAGCCAAGTAGATATCTTGGTTGTGTCTCATAAATGGTTAGTTTGAGCCTTGCTCGAAGCTACCAAATCAAGCAGTAAGGAACTCAAGCTCAGCGCATTAGCTATTGATAACCCCTGAAATTTGATTTAAATCAACTAGAAAGATTGCTGAACTTCCAACTCCCCAATTGATGAAGCTCACTCTTGTAACTTTACTACTGGATAATATTATTTTCTTTTTTTAAGAAAAATTTGGCTCTTCATTTGAGAAGATTCAAGTCAATTGTGCTTTCTGTCTACTCGTGATGGTTAAATTATGATCAAGTACTTCACGAATTTTCATTAGCATTATAGCTACTAACCTGTGATTCAATCTAACTTTTGATTAAAAAAGGGGTGGTTTATTCATGTATAGGAGAAAGTGTTGGTAGTATATTCTGTTTATTGGCCAGCTGTGGTGGCGCAGTGCTGTATGTGATTGGCTGGCACTTTTGTATCTTAGCTTGTATATTGAAGCAGGTTCGCTGATAGATGTGAACTTGTTGGCCTTGACCTGCTTGCAACTTTGCAGACCATGTATAGAGAGAGACATCATCTTCACAGAATTTGTGTGCATGTGTATGTATATGCAATTTAATTTTTAATCTAACATCGACTTTTCTTATCTTTTGGAAAACCAATTAGGGAACGGAATTGATATAGGGTGATGGAAACTACTCAAGTAAATGTTTCTGATGAGTTTGAGGAGGGTGCTGTGTCTGATGGCCATGGCCTTTATGATCAATTAATTGGAGAACATACTGCTGTATCAAGTTTTGAATTCTGCTCCAAGGAAATGGTGCCATCCTTTGAGAACAAGAAGCAAAGTAATCCTGGGAATTTAAAAGAATTTCCTATGCATCTGGGAATTAGTTGTGATCCCAGTTTACAAGCTCCATCTGTTCCTGGTAAACTTCTTTAAAATTTCTGGCTGGAAAATAAATCTACTACTCGTTTGTTGAGTTTTATTTTGGGATAGCTTGCTTGCTAGGTTAGCTCTCAAGGACAATAATTTAGATTATTTTCTGATTGTTATAAATTTCTAAATCCTGATTTAGTTATGCTTTGCCAACCTTCAACGCATTTGACTTGATTAGTAGGATAATTCTATTGGATTGGTTTGGCTTGTTGGATTCAGTTCCTTTGTGTCCAGTCTAATGAATTCTTGCCATCCACTTAGCTTTCTTTGCTCCCTTAAACAGAAATTATTCTTAAACAAATTGCTGGGGAAGGGTCATTATGTTCCTTATATCTTATCATATTGTATCGTTTTTATATACTTCGTATATTGCTATCTGACGAGTTCAAGTTACTTCTATATGTATAAATAAACAACTGTATTTAGAAGTTAAGTCTACTCCTTATGTTTACTTTTCAGCATTTATGTAAGATGAAAGTCAATATGAACGAATTTTAACAGCCTCAAATCAAATTTTTTTGTTGCTTAAATCAGGTGTGTCAAAGTGTTATGTATTCAAGAGCCAATTACAGGAATATGCCCAAAAGGTCGGGCTTCCGACTCCTGTGTATGAGACAATTAAAGAAGGCCCTTCACATGAGCCTTCTTTCAGGTCAACTGTGATTGTGGATGGTGTCCGATATGAATCACTGCCTGGTTTCTTCAATCGGAAAGCAGCAGAACAATCAGCTGCTGAAATTGCATTAATGGATCTATCTAAGAGCGGGGGTAAGAAAGATTCGATTGCTGTGCCTGTGGTAAGTGAGTTAAATTACCAGTTGAAGCATATCAAGTTATTATCTTACATTCTTACCAATAATGAGTTTAGGTGGAAATTTTAAACTTGAATGTATTGTACTATTATTCATTTTATGTTTTAAGTTTAGGGGATATTATGATGAACTGCTTTAGGTGTGCACCTTTTCTGTTTCTTATTGGCTGACTTGAGCACACTTTGAGAGGAAGTTAGAGGAAATATTTTATTGTTTAAAGGTTAGGCCAGCTTCAGTGCAATTTTAAATATACTGTCAACAACCATTGTTAACTGAAATCATTTGCATAGACATGATTAATCTGATCTTCAAGCATTTTGCTACTTAAGAACATAAATTTGACTCTTTAAAAACTTAACAGTTCAAGTAGATCCCTCTGCCTTTAACAACTGTTCAACAAGGCCTTTCTCAAAACATGATACTTTAAGCTAGATATGACAGTACTCTGTAATCTTAATTGCAAACTCCATCTGTTTATTTGAAGTGTAAGAGTGTCTCTCCTACTGTGTTTAATCCCTGAGTTTCAGGTTCGGTTCATATAATGGGTCATTGAATCTTATACTGGCTTGGCTTATCACTGCAATTATTTTTGTCAGCATGAGACTGGTTTATGCAAGAATTTGCTCCAAGAATATGCACAGAAGATGAATTATGCAATTCCTACTTACATATGCCGGAAGGATGACACCCCTGGTAAGACGGCTGTCTTTTCTTGTACTGTTGAGATAGGGGCAATTCAGTACATTGGGGCTGCTGCAAGAAATAAAAAGGATGCTGAGATCAAAGCTGCAAGGACTGCCCTGCTTGCAATTCGGTCAAGTGGTTCTGTTGGAGGTCAGAAATTTGACGATAACCCTCTGTATACAGTTATCCCAAGCAAAAGAAAGATGCAAGAGACAGCTCCTCCACAAATGGAGACTGTAAAAGTGAAGAAGCCAAAGAAACCCCGTTCTTCAAAGAAGTCGCATAACCGGATGCAACCTTATGATTCTGATTATCAAAGCCATGCTGGGATCATGGGTGTTTTGGTCAGTAATGATATCGGTATTCCAACTGCCTTTCAACCATATGAAAATGGTTTATCTGATGTCCAAGTACCAAATCATGGTCAAAATCCCAATTGTTTGGCAAGTTCAGATCAGGATAATTTGCCCGTGAAGAATTGCCAACTTAATGGTAAAGCATTTGTTGTTGAAGGTTCTTCTGATCCTGTAGTCTGTGTGGTTGACTCTGACCCGACCCATGATCACAAAAACCCTGATGTTGGTGACGATTTGTCTATGACAACGGGTCCACCCTTGGTGCCAGCTAACAACGAAAAAATTGATCAGGGTGTTGGCAAAGTCACCGATAATGCACTCCAGTAGCTCCACTTTCTAGGCAAGTTGAGTGCATTGCCTACAAATTTTGGGATACTCAGGAAGATCCAGCAACTTCAGTGGCAGCTAGAAGCCACATGGGGGAAGGAAACAATGCTTGCACAAATGTACCTTCTGACCGATAATATCTGTAAATTTTAGTGTGGTTGGATGAGATTTTTGTAGGTAGGGAAGGGGGAGTGAGGCATCTATTTACCCATGTCTTGAAAGAGGGGTCCATTTCCATTGGGGATTGTAGAAGTAACCCTAGATACACTATTAATTGAGCATGCTATTTGTTATTGTTATCTAGCAAACAAATGGATTATCTAGAAGTGAGATCATACATAGTTTAGGATGGTTAGAAAGGCAATCATAGATTTGTATGTCCGTCTTTATTTATTTTAATTCAACTTCACACCGGTGGCTGTTCAACTGTTCAAGCACAATGCAGCAATAGTTGGTTTTGGTTCGACTGCCACAATAACTGGTTTGGTTCGACTTGAGCAATAGGTGGTTTTGGTTTGACTGCAGTGGCTCGTGGCATAACTATCGGAATTTTCTTCTTTATCCTTTGTTTTCTGGTAGAGGTCCAATTTCGACTCCCCCGACCAATGAGAACTGAACCCGGATCTACCTATACGGAGATGTATACAAATGTATCGAGTATTGGTTTCTCTAGGCAATAGAGTAGTTGTTTATTATTTGACGGCGTGGGAGTTGCTGCATTGCTGTTATAGCGCAGTGTATTAAGTATTTAAGTGTTGTTTATAATACAGAGTACGAAGACTAGCTTTCGTATTCCTGCCGACAACAAAATATGTACCAATTATTATAAGATGGGAAGTGGGAAACAGCTACTTGTTCAGTTGTTTGTATACGTTTAATACGTTATGCCATTAAATTCATATTGCAGACTCTAGGAATTTTTCTATGATGATTATTTTTAGGGAGTATTGGTAAAAATGGTAATGATAAGAATTTATGCATTTAATGTAGGTTCAGAATACAACTATACAAGCATTGGATACATGAGTTCATCTCAGCGCATATTTACTATGCGTTTACAATGCACATAGGATGGCAGAAATGTAAAGTTGACAAGTTTGAGAATTAAAAATGAAAAAAACCGACTCTATAGTAGTACATTATAATGTACCATTATGCATGTATAATGTACCATTAAAGTACAAGTTGTCTTAAAACTCTTAATAGTACTTTTTGTGTAATATTATGCATGTAGTGGTACCTTTTGCCATTGTATAGGTTGAATATTTTCCCCCAAAATACTTACCACATGTCACTTATCATGCATGTATTAATACATTTTTCCATCCTATTTGTTTGCTAACAAATAGCAGTTATGCACTAAGGGTTAACTGGATACACTTTCAGGCTTATTAATTAAAAGTTTGCATGTCATAATCACCGTGTAGATAACTTAATAGTTTTATAAACGATAATATTTCTAGTTTTGGCTCATTGCATAGATGCATGCAGTTTTTAGTATTGCTTATATCTTTATTAAGGTGGACTTTACGTACAAAAGTATTAAAATCCAGTATGAGTTTCAGAAACTTGCTGAATTTTTTTTTGGCTTCCTTCGTTCTTTTTTACTTGACCCGTTTTGACTTTTACACTATTCATCACCCTTTTTCTGATCGTCTTTTTAAATTCGTTTCAATAAGTACTATCATAATATATAACTTTTATAATCTTTAATTATGGAGAATTAAGTTATTAATTGTTAAAGTTTTAGATTGACAAACACGATAAAAAAAAAACAGAAATAATTTGTCATTTGTTTATCATTCTATCCAAGGTGCGTTTTGTTTTTCCTTTTTCGTTTTTTGTTTAACTTCGGCTTTTATGTATATCAACACATGAAATTGAACATTTGATCAATCATTAATTTTTAGAATTGTTAAAATTACAACGAATCTAACATTCCTCCCTATATTATGTAAAACCTTCTAGAAGATGCAAATCTAATGTTGATTTATGATAATCCAAACTCAAATCCTCGAACAAAAAATAAAAGATATTTGGATTAATGAAGTTAGGTTGTTAATCTTTATCCTAAGAATAACACAAAACTCAAACAAACTTAAACTAAGCCACCGCCAGAAGTACATACATACATACACATTGAACTCTCGATCTCTTTCTCTCTCCTCTGTTACTCACTTGATTAATTATTTAAATTAATTAATTAGATTCTTTCATATCCTTCAACTTTTATCACATCACACTTCCCACTTCACACTCATTACTCCCCACTTTCACTCTCATCATATCTGCCCTTCTCCTTTTATCACTCACTCACTCACTCACTTCCCTCCTTAAGATCTGCTTCAATCACCATTCAAAAAAGAGCTCTCTTTTTATCAGGTAAATTCTCATTAAATTTTCAATCTTTTTTGCCAATTTCTGCTTTTTCAATCATTTTTTTGATTTGATCTCAATGTTCTGCATTTACCCAGATTGTAGATTTAATTTCCAATTTTGCATTTTCTTTTTTTGAAATCTAAATTTGATTTCATGATTTATTTCCATTTTTCTTGGAAGAATTTAATGCAATGAATCTGGGTTTTTTTGGTTTGTGATTGTGTTGTGTTATATTGTGTTGTGATTGTGTTTGTGATTGTGTTGTGTTATAAATTAATATAGAATTTAATGTGATGGGTTAAGTTCAAATCTGGGATTTCCCATGGTTGATTAGCCTTAATTTGTGTACAATTCTGTATAATTTGGTAAGCATGCTTGGAAAGGAAGGGAGGGTGACTTCATATATTATAATGTTGTATTTGTATTATCTTTAGCAATTGCCAATTTAAGTGGGATCTTTGAATATATGTAATCCTACATCTTTGTATGTGGGTGAATATCACCATCAATCTATGTTGTTGGGACTTAGGGACAAAGTAGTGGATTTGGGTCGGATCCGAGTCCGTGTCCTTGAGTCTAACCCAGTGTTCTGATGGAGAGTTGTGTATGCGTTTCGGTCGAAGGCTCGAAGCTGAACCGGCTAAATGCCTTGATAAGTTCTACTTGTTTGGGTAGTTTTTAGTTGAAAGGAAGAGTTTGAATAGAATGGATATTAATCTAATAAAAGTAATATCTGAAAGCTAATGAAGAGGGCTTGGCCTATATATTTTCACATGTGAATTCTCTACTCATAGAAAGAAGGAAGAAGAAAAGAAAGCTAATGTATGTATTATCATATGTGGTGCTAAATGTTTATTATTGGTTGTTAACGGATGCTATTTATAAGCAGGTGATTGCATTGTGATCTTTCTTTGGAGTAGTGAGAGTCCAGCTTTCCATCATGACCCCCAAACATGGTGGTAGATCCCGAGGGTCCATGTCGATATTTATTGTGCTCGGACTTTGCTGTTTCTGTTACTTACTAGGAGCTTGGCAAAGAAGTGGCTTTGGCAAGGGGGATAGTATAGCTATGAAAATGTCAAAGGTGTCTGATTTGACAGATTGCGGTGTAAAGTCAGATTTGGATTTTAAGCCTCACCATAAATTTGTTGGGACTTTTGAGTCTTCTGAGGTGATAGTTAAAAAGTATGAGGTCTGTGATGAAAAATACTCTGATTATACTCCTTGCCAGGAGCAGGACAGAGCTATGAAATTCCCAAGGGAAAATATGATCTACAGAGAGAGACATTGCCCCCCAGATGAGGAAAAATTGCGCTGTCTAATCCCAGCACCTGTGGGATACACAACACCGTTCCCCTGGCCGAAAAGTCGGGATTATGTTTACTATGCTAATGTGCCTTATAAGCATCTGACCGTTGAGAAGGCTGGCCAACATTGGGTAGATTTTCAAGGCAATGTATTTAAATTTCCTGGTGGTGGGACAATGTTTCCTCAAGGTGCTGATGCTTACATTGATGAGCTTGCCAGTGTGATTCCGATTGCTGATGGTACTGTTAGAACAGCATTGGATACTGGCTGCGGGGTATGTTTTCTATCCTATCTCGCTCATCGTTTTTCTTTGTGTTCCCTTTTTAGTATATGCTCTCTTATCATGTTTCGTGATTCTTTCAACTCCATTCAAAAAATTGAAAAGCACTTCATGTTTTCTTTTCTTTGGAACGTTTGAGCAGTGATGATCTCTGATTTGAACAAGTTACCTAGTCCATATTAAAACGGTTCTTTGGGGTGGTTGTCTGTTGTAATTGCTTGCCTTTTTGCTCTTTTGCATCTGGTATCCATTAATCAATGTAAATCAGCAGGAGAAATTAAAGGAGTACTTTAGTCTTAGTTTAAGCTCCTTAGCAAGAAGTAGTAGTGATTGGCCTTTAGTGAACTTGATCTTGTTAAAATTTATCACTTTTGGTATGGTCTATAGTTACTAATTCGCTAAACCCCCCAAACTGGAAAGGGCGAAGTAATACATTAAAGCAGTACATTTTGTGAGTTACATTCTTGTATCCAATCTCATACTGGAAAATTAGGTGACACTGCTAGATGTGGTTTTCTAATCCTCACTCCACTTTCCCTTCTCTCATGCTGGAATCTTTCCTATCTGTTACGAGTCTGATGATTTTATAGAGATATGTAATTTTCAATGACAATCGTTTTTTGTTTCTCAAGTTTTCTAAAGGTCATAAATAGAAATATGTTTTAATCATTTCTAACTTGTTAGCTCGTTTGAACATTGGGGTTATCTGATTCTCCTACTTCTTGCACATTGCGTATTAGTATTTTCATATTAGTTGTGGTTTTGTGATATCCAAAACTCCAACTAGTGAACTCCTTCATCATAGCCTCCAAACATAGCAGATTGGAAAAAAGCAAAAAAAAATTCCTTGTAGATGTTCTGTTTACAATTACAGCCTGAATTGTGAATAAGCCTGTGATTTAATCAGATCAGTCAACTAACAATGTTTGTTTTCTTGACAGGTTGCAAGCTGGGGTGCATACATGCTGAAGAGAAATGTATTGGCTATGTCATTTGCACCACGAGACAATCACGAAGCTCAAGTGCAGTTTGCATTAGAGAGAGGAGTGCCGGCAGTTATTGGTGTACTTGGAAGTATACATCTTCCATATCCCGCAAGGGCCTTTGATATGGCCCAGTGCTCCAGATGCTTGATACCATGGGGAAATGATGGTAAGTACTGAAGTTGATTTGGTGGATATTGTCGTTTCATGTTGTTGCACCTCGTGTCACTTTTTCTTTTCTTTTTTTTTTTTTTTTGGAGGAACCTTGTCTCATTTAGATAGGAGAAAATTGCTAAAAATCTTGGGAAAATTAAACTCCGTAAATCTATTG